TAGAGTCATGCAGAACCTCAGAGGGCGTACCTGACCACAGGTAGAGTCATGCAGAACCTCAGAGGGCGTACCTGACCACAGGTAGAGTCATGCAGAACCTCAGAGGGCGTACCTGACCACAGGTAGAGTCATGCAGAACCTCAGAGGGCGTACCTGACCACAGGTAGAGTCCGTCAAAGCTGTATGAGTAGAGGTCATCCCCCACCCCGTTGCCCCCCCAGCCCTCTCCAGCCCCCGGGTAGGGGGCGTAACCCTTAGTGGAGGCCCAGCCCACACGCAGGTGAGTTGGTTCACTGGTCACATAGTGGTCCACCTGGGAGAGAGAATAGAGATATAGAGATATATAGAGAGAGAGAGAGGATAGAGAGAGAGAGAGAGAGAGAGAGAGAGAGAGAAGAGAGAGAGAGAGAGAGAGAGCGAGAGAGAGAGAGAGAGAGAGAGGAGAGAGAGAGAGAGAGAGGGAGGCAGAGAGAGAGAGACATTGTACAAGTGACAAAATACATTTTAAATAGTGTACTTGGCAATACTCTCTAAAACACAATGATCAAAACACATTTGCAAGTAAGAAAAGTTATATCCACCTGGTCGATCACCAGCTCAAAGTACCACTTCTTATACTGGGCTGAACCCTCCGCCACTCCAAGGAAGATGTTGGGCCTCATACTGGACAAACATATCAAGATTTGAGTCATTCATTTGGAGCCATAAAAGTATGTATAAAGTTTAAATCTTAAGCCTAATACAGGACACAGAGACAGCTAGATAGATTATACATTATTCATATTTCTATTCCATGTTTCATTATATTGCAGTCGGAAAAGCTGGGTTGAGTTTATATTAAATCACTGATTCAGTTAGCAAGACAGGTGCAGTCGTAAATCAAGAGTGAATTTATGACTAATGTAATTACCCCTCCAGTAACAAGCTAATTACCTACTGTTACGGAGCACTCAATTATTTTACAACTGGTGCTCATTAACCAGGGTATGCTTTTTTTTTTTTTAACTGGGCAAGTCAGTTAAGAACAAATTCTTATTTACAATGACGGCCTACCCCGGCCAAACCCTCCCCTAACCCGGACGACGGTGGGCCAATTGTGCACCGCCCTATGGAACTCCCGATCACGGCCGGTTGTGATACAGCCCGGGATCAAACCCGGGTCTGTAGTGACGCCTCTAGCACTTCGATGGAGTGCCTTAGACCGCTGCGCCACTCGTTCCCCCCCGCTGCAGTGAACACCATAGAATTAGAATGAAAACACCTAAGAATTACAATGATTACACCATAGATTTAGAATTAGAATGATTCTAGTTCTAATTCTACGGTACATCGTAACAATGGGGCACTTTCTACTTCCTGTTACCTCTGAACATCATTGACCAATCGTGTCTGCAACAGCAGGTCTCTCTTGGGAAGCAGGTGATCACAGATGAGGTTCTGATTGGCTCTCACAGCCACCCCGTTACACACACACAGAGAACACAGGACGTCCAGGATCTAGACAGAGATGGAGGGAGGCAGGGAGGCAGGGAGGGAGGGAGGGAGGGAGGGAGGGAGGGAGGGAGGGAGGGAGGGAGGGACAAACAAACAAACAAAGGGATGTAAAGAATGGACCAAAGGGATGACTGGCAGTCTTCAGGATGACCTGTTTTGGGTTATTGAGTGGAAGTGTGTGTGTAACCGATCGTGTGTGTGTAAGAACAGCTGACGAATATGAGTGCAGTCAAGGTGAACTGAGAGGAACTCGTTAAAATGACGGGCCTGTTTCGATGACATCAACACAACAAAAGGTGGACAACACATACTGAAACTTTTTAGGGGTCATCTGTCTATGCCTCTCCTGTTCTCTACAGTGACCATCAGATGACACAGCAAGGTTAGAGGTCAGTGATAAAGCATCTGGAACCGCCTCTTTGCTAATGAAGTTATCAGGGTTTGAACATTCCTCTGACTTGTGTTAACATCCTCCCTTGTCTGACTATGTGCACTTCATTTGACCAGAGTTCTATGGGCTGTGGTAAAAACTAGTGCAGTATATAGGGAATAGGGTGCTATTTTGGACACATCTGGTGCCTCAACACTGCATCATGACATCACTGTGCCCAGAGGGCAGACAGGACAGGGTGTTAAGAACGGGTCACTCTTTTATTTATCTGATGAAGCTTCATCCCTTCTCTCTCTCTCTCTCTCTCTCTCTCTCTCTCTCTCTCTCCTCTCTCTCTCTCTCTCTCTCTCTCTCTCTCCTCTCTCTCTCTCTCTCTCTCTCTCTCTCTCTCTCTCTCTCTCTCTCTCTCTCTCCTCTCTCTCTCTCTCTCTCTCTCTCTCTCTCTCTCTCTCTCTCTCTCTCTCTCTCTCTCTCTCTCTCTCTCTCTCTCTCTGTGTTCTATAAGTGTGTCACACATAAATACAGAAGGTGATAATCCTCTAGTTTGTTCTGTGTAACAATAACACATGCCGCTAAGCTACAGACAGACACTTCATTACCTCGCTGGGTGGGTAAGTAATGCTATGCCAATAACCCTTAGAGGGGCATGCATGGCCTGTGTCTTTATTGGTTGTTAAAAGCCTATAGGATTCCAAGGCTGTGCCGTGTCATGGCATGGATCAACACCTGCTGTTTCCGAGACTGGGTTTGCATCCCAAATGGCACCCTATGGATTCTGGTCAAAAGTAGCGCACTACATAGGGAATAAGGTGCCATTCAGGAGACAGACTGGCCCTGCATGTGGCCCTGCATGCCCAGCTAACCCAATTAACCCAGCAGGGCAAATATTGTTAAGTGACAAGTTAACGCTGCACGTAATACACGTAGCAGGAATGTTAAAACGATGTCATGTGATATGCTGCCTGAGGCTATTGTTAAACTCACGCTGCCATGCTGCCAGCTGTGACAGCCACAGATTTATATACATGTTCACTCTCTCCTCTGGGTAAAGGAATGAAAGGCCAAAGCGCTGCTCATACTGAAGATGTTTGGCTCTGAGTTTAGAACATTTAGAATGTGTTTAGAACTTTTAGAATGTGTTTACAACGTTTAGAATGTGTTTATTAGAACATCAGTAAATGTGTTGTTGTTGCTGACCTTGTGGTTGCGTCCGTGTTTGTAGAGCAGGGAGATGATGGACTTGATGTGTCCTCTCTGGATGATGTTCAGAGCCTCTGGAGACTCTATCAGGATGCAGTGGAGAACCTCCAGGATACCTAGAGTAGAATAGAATAACATTCAATCAGGAGACTATCGGGATTTAGTGGAAAACCTCCAGGATACCTGAGGGAAAACACTCATTACTGTCAGGCTAAAACTAGTGGAACATTTTGGTTTATTATATAACACACTACTGGGACTGGGACATTAGATTATACTGTATACCTTATGGCTATAGGTTATAGCCACTTTATTATAGCACTATACCTTCTTACAGTTGAAGTCGGAAGTTTACGCACACCTTAGCCAAATACATTTAAATTCAGTTTTTCACCATTCCTGACATTTAATCCTAGTAAAAATTCCCTGTCTTAGGTCAGTTAGGATCACCACTTTATTTTAAGAATGTGAAACGTCAGAATGATAGTAGAGAGAATGATTTATTTCAGCTTTTTATTTCTTTCATCACATTCCCAGTGGGTCAGAAGTTTACATACACTCAATTAGTATTTGGTAGCATTGCCTTTAAATAGTTTAACTTGGGTCAAACGTTTCGGGTAGCCTTCCACAAGCTTCCCACAATAAGTTGGGTGAATTTTGGCCCATTCCTCCTGATAGAGCTGATGTAACTGAGACAGGTTTGTAGGCCTTCTTGCTCGCACACGCTTGTTCAGTTCTGCCCACAAATGTTCTATAGGATTGAGGTCAGGGCTTTGTGATGGCCACTCCAATACCTTGACTATGTTGTCCTTAAGCCATTTTGCCACAACTTTGGAAGTATGCTTGGGGTCATTGTCCTTTTGGAAGACCTATTTGCGACCATGCTTTAACTTCCTGACTGATGTCTTGAGATGTTGCTTCAATATATCCACATAATTGTCCTTCCTCATGATGCCATCTATTTTGTGAAGTGCACCAGTCCCTCCTGCAGCAAAGCACCCCCACAGCATGATGCTACCACCCCCGTGCTTCACGGTTGGGATGGTGTTCTTCGGCTTGCAAGCAGCCCCCTTTTTCCTCCAAACATAACGATGGTCATTATGGCTAAACAGTTCTATTTTTGTTTCATCAGACCAGAGGACATTTCTCCAAAAAGTACGATCTTTGTCACCATGTGCAGTTGCAAACCATAGTCTGGTTTTGTTATGGTGGTTTTGGAGCAGTGGCTTCTTCCTTGCTGAGCGGCCTTTCAGATTATGTCGATATAGGACTCGTTTTACTGTGCATATAGATACTTTTGTACCTGTTTCCTCCAGCATCTTCACAAGGTCCTTCGCTGTTGTTCTGGGATTGATTTACACTTTTCGCACCAAAGTACGTTCATCTCTAGGAGACAGAATGCGTCTCCTTCCTGAGCGGCATGATGGCTGCGTGGTCCCATGGTGTTTATACTTGAGTATTATTGTTTGTACAGATGAACGTGGTACCTTCAGGCGTTTGGAAATTGCTCCCAAGGATGAACCAGACTTGTGGAGGTCTACACATTTTTTTTTGAGGTCTTGGCTGATTTCTTTTGATTTTCCCATGATGTCAAGCAAAGAGGCACTGAGTTTGAAGGTAGGCCTTGAAATACATCCACAGGTACGCCTCCAATTGACTCAAATTATGTCAATTAGCCTATCAGAAGCTTCTAAAGCCATGACATCATTTTCTGGAATTTTCCAAGCTGTTTAAAGGCACAGTCAACTTAGTGTATGTAAACTTCTGACCCACTGGAATTGTGATACAGTGAATTATAAGTGAAATAATCTGTCTGTAAACAATTGTTGGAAAAATTACTTGTGTCATGCACAAAGTAGATGTCCTAACCGACTTGCCAGAACTATAGCTTGTTAACAAGAAATTTGTGGAGTGGTTGAAAAACAAGTTTTATTGACTCCAACCTAAGTGTATGTAAACTTCCGACTTCAACTGTACATTTCCTGCTTCAGGTTAACTTACACTAGACACATGCAGACCCAAATTAGCTTGCTATAAAGACATTTGACTACGTAAACAAACAATTCCATACCCAATATGTTAATGTTAACTCTATGAACTTTATATGCACTGTGTCCAGTACCTGATGAGGACTCCAGTCTCTCCAGCTTGCTGACCAGCCAGTCCAGGTTCCTGGAGAACTGGGTACAGTTGTTCCTGTTCCCTTTGATCAGAGAGGCTGAAGAGAGAGAGAGAAGAAGAGTTAGATGAGTGAGAGGTCACAGAGGGATGAGGAGTAGTTTTGAAGAGGGGAGTGGAGGATGGGAGAGAGGAAGGGAGTGGAGAAGGGGTAAGGAGGAGCGGAAGTGGAGGAGGGGTAAGGAGGAGGGGAGTGGAGGAGGGGTAAGGAGGAGGGAGTAGGGGGAGTAGGAGGAGGGGAGGAGGGGTAAGGAGGAGCGGAGTGGAGGAGGGGTAAGGAGGAGTGGAGGAGGGGTAAGGAGGAGGGGAGTGGAGGAGGGGTAAGGAGGAGGGGAGGAGGTGGTAAGAGGGGGGAGGAGGAGGGGAGGGGTAAGGAGGAGTGGAGGAGGGGTAAGGAGGAGCGGAGTGGAGGAGGGGTAAGGAGGAGGGGAGGAGGGGTAAGGAGGAGAACTGGGTGCAGTTATTCCTGTTCCCTTTGATCAGAGAGGCTGGAGAGAGTTTAGTTTAGTTTATTAGGATCCCCATTAGCTACTGCACATGCAGAAGCTGCTCTTCCTGAGGTCCACATGAAACGTATAAACACAGAACAGTTACAGACAAGAAGAACATAAGATATTATATTACATTTAAAATGTAACATTTAAATAAAATAAGTTATATATAGGAAAGACACCAAGAGACAACAAAAATACTATTTACACACTATTCATACACTGGGTGTACAAAACATTAGGAACACCTTCCTAATATTGAGTTGCACCCCTTTTGCCCTCAGAACAGCCTCAATTCGTCGGGGCATGGACTCTACAAGGTGTAGACTCTACAAGGTTTCTCCCCTCTCTCTCCAGATGAAATCTTGCGACTTGTGACGGCCGGCCGCCCAACAACCTGCCCGCTTGACCATATCCCCTCCTGTCTTCTCCAGACCATTTCCGGAGACCTTCTCCCTTATCTCACCTCGCTCATCAACTCATCCTTGACCGCTGGCCATGTCCCTTCCGTCTTCAAGAGAGCGAGAGTTGCACCCCTCCTCAAAAAACCTACACTCGATCCCTTCGATGTCAACAACTACAGACCAGTATCCCTTCTTTCTTTTCTCTCCAAAACTCTTGAGCGTGCCGTCTCTAGCCAACTCGCCTGTTATCTCTCTCAGAATTACCTTCTTGATCCAAACCAGTCAGGTTTCAAGACTGGTCATTCAACTGAGACTGCTCTTCTCTGTGTCACGGAGGCTCTCCGCACTGCTAAAGCTAACTCTCTCTCCTCTGCTCTTATCCTTCTAGACCTATCCGCTGCCTTTGATCCTGTGAACCATCCGATCCTCCTCTCCACCCTCTCCGAGTTGGGGCATCTCCGGCGCGGCTCACTCTTGGATTGCGTCCTACCTGACAGGTTGCTCCTACCAGGTGGCGTGGTGAGAATCTGTCTCCACACCACGTGCTCTCACCACTGGTGTCCCCCAGGGCTCAGTTCAAGGCCCTCTCCTATTCTCTCTATACACCATGTCACTTGGCTCTGTCATATCCTCACATGGTCTCTCCTATCATTGCTACGCAGACGACACACAATTAATTTTCTCCTTTCCCCCTTCTGATAACCAGGTGGCGAATCGCATCTCTGCATGTCTGGCAGACATATCAGTGTTGATGACGGATCACCACCTCAAGCTGAACCTTGGCAAGTTGGAGCTGCTCTTCCTCCCGGGGAAGGACTGCCCGCTCCATGATCTCGCCATCACGGTTGACAACTCCGTTGTGTCCTCCTTCCAGAGTGCAAAGAACCTTGGCGTGACCCTGGACAACACCCTGACGTTCTCCGCTAACATCAAAGCGGTGACCCGATCCTGCAGGTTCATGCTCTACAACATTCACAGGGTACGACCCTACCTTACACAGAAAGCGGCACAGGTCCTAATCCAGGCACTTGTCATCTCCCATCTGGATTACTGCAACTCGCTGTTGGAAGGGCTCCCTGCCTGTGCCATTAAACCCCTACAACTAATCCAGAACGCCGCAGCCCGTCTGGTGTTCGACCTTCCCAAGTTCTCTCATGTCACCCCACTCCTCCGCACACTCCACTGGCTTCCAATTGAGGCTCACATCTACTACAAGACCATGGTGCTTGCCTACGGAGCTGTGAGGGGAACGGCACCTCCTTACCTTCAGGCTCTGATCAGACCCTACACCCAAACGAGGTCATTACGTTCATCCACCTCTGGCCTGCTAGCTCCCCTACCTCTACGGAAGCACAGTTCCCGCTCAGCCCAGTCAAAGGTATTTGCTGCTCTGGCACCCCAATGGTGGAACAAGCTCCCCCACGACGCCAGGACAGCGTAGTCACTGATCACCTTCCGGAGACACTTGAAACCCTACCTCTTTAAGGAATACCTGGAATAGTATAAAGTATTCCTTATAAACCCCCCCCCCCCCCCCCCCCCCCCCCAAGTGGTTGTCCCACTGGCTATCATAAGTTGAATGCACCAATTGGTAAGCGCTCTGGATAAGAGCGTCTGCTAAATTATGTAAATGTAAATGTAATGTGTCGAAAACATTCCACAGGGATGCTGGCCCATGTTGACTACAATGCTTCCTACAGTTGTGTCAAGTTAGCTGGATGTCCTTTGGGTGGTGGACCATTCTTGATACACAGGAAACTGTTGAGCGTGAAATACCCAGCAGCGTTGCAGTTCTTGACAAAAACTGGTGCGCCTGGCACCTACTATCATACCCCGTTCAAAGCCACTTAAATATTTGTCTTGCCCATTTCAACTCTGCATGGCACACATACACAATCCATGTCTCAATTGTCTCAAGGCTTAAAAATCATTTTTTAACCTGTCTCCTCTCCTTCATCTACACTGATTGAAGTGGATTTAATAAGTGACATCAATAAGGGATCATAGCTTTCACCTGGATTCAAGAGGTCATTCTATGTTCCTAATGTTTTGTACACTCAGTGTACAGTCGTGGTCAAAAGTTTTGAGAATGACACAAATATTAATTTTCACAAAGTCTGCTGCCTCAGTTTTTATGATGGCAATTTGCATATACTCCAGAATGTTATGAAGAGTGATCAGATGAATTGCAATTAATTGCAAAGTCCCTCTTTGCCATGAAAATGAACTTCATCCCCCCAAAACATTTCCACTGCATTTCAGCCCTGCCACAAAAGGACCAGCTGCCATCATGTCAGTGATTCTCTCATTAACACAGGTGAGAGTGTTGACGAGGACAAGGCTGGAGATCACTCTGTCATGCTGATTGAGTTAGAATAACAGACTGGAAGCTTGAAAAGGAGGGTGGTGCTTGAAATCATTGTTCTTCCTCAGTTAACCATGGTTACCTGCAAGGAAACACGTGCCGTCATCATTGCTTTGCATTAAAAAAGGCCTTCACAGGCAAGGATATTGCTGCTAGTAAGATTGCACCTAAATCAACCATTTATCGGATCGTCAAGAACTTCAAGGAGAGAGGTTCAATTGTTGTGAAGAAGGCTTCAGGGCACCCAAGAAAGGCCAGCAAGTGCCAGGACCGTCTCCTAAAGTTGATTCAGCTGCGGGATCGGGGCACCAACAGTGCAGAGCTTGCTCAGGAATGGCAGCAGGCAGGTGTGAGTGCATCTCCACCCACAGTGAGGCGAAGACTTTTGGAGGATGGCCTGGTGTCAAGAAGGGCAGCGAGGAAGCCACTTCTCTCCAGGAAAAACATCAGGGACAGACTGATATTCTGCAAAAGGTACAGGGATTGGACTGCTGAGGACTGGGGTAAAGTCATTTTCTCTGATGAATCCCCTTTCCAATTGTTTGGGGCATCCGGAAAACACCTTGTCCGGAGAAGACAAGGTGAGCGCTACCATCAGTCCTGTGTCATGTCAACAGTAAAGCATCCTGAGACCATTCATGTGTGGGGTTGCTTCTCAGCCAAGGGAGTGGGTTCACTCACAATTTTGCCTAAGAACACAGCCATGAATAAAGAATGGTACCAACACATCCTCAGAGAGCAACTTCTCCCAACCATCCAAGAACAGACGACCAATGCCTTTTCCAGCATGATGGAGCACCTTGTCATAAGGCAAAAGTGATAACTAATTGGCTCGAGGAACAAAACATCGACATTTTGGGTCCATGGCCAGGAAACTCCCCAGACCTTAATCCCATTGAGAACTTGTGGTCAATCCTCAAGAGGCGGGTGGACAAACAAAAACCCACAAATTCTGACAAACTCCAAGCATTGATTATGCAAGAATGGGCTGCCATCAGTCAGGATGTGGACCAGAAGTTAATTGACAGCATGCCAGGGCGGATTGCAGAGGTCTTGAAAAAGAAGGGTCAACACTGCAAACATTGACTCTTTGAATAAACTTAATGTAATTGTCAATAAAAGCCTTTGACACTTATGGAATACTTGTAATTATACTTCAGTGTACCATAGTATCATTTGACAAAAATATCTAAAAACACTGAAGCAGCAAACTTTGTGAAGACCAATACTTGTGTAATTCTCAAAACGTTTTACCACGACTGTATATACATTTTCATATTATTATATAAGAGGAGAGGTGCTGTGATAAAATAGGTTTTTCTAAATCTGTTTTTTAAAGCTAAACTTGCTTTTTGCCTGAGTAACTTCTGGTGGCAGAGCATTCCACAATGACATGGCTCTATACATAACTGAGCGACAAATTAAATGTTTTTGGTTTGTGTACCATGAAGAAACCCATAGGGGCGTGTCTGGTGGGGTATGTATGTCAGTTTGAAGTGTATACAAATATATTATACAAGTGGTTAGGTATTTTGAACACACACATTTTTTCTTAAAAAGACTAGAAGAGAAGTAGTCAATTTCTCCTCAACCCTCAACCAGGAAAGACTATCATGCATGTTGTTGATGTTAGTTCTGTGTGTGCAGTTAAGGGCAAGGCGTGCTGCTCTGTTTTTGAGCCGGCTACAGCTTTGCTAGGTCTTTCTTTGCTGCACCTGACCATATTACCGGACAGTAATCAAGATGGGCCCAGATCAGAGCCTAAACAACTAGTACATTTGATCATTGTGTCAGAAACTCAGAACATCTTTTTATAACAGACATACCCCTCCCCATCTTCACAACAACTTTGTCAATATGACTTGACCATGATAACTGACCATCCAATGTTACACCCTTTATGCACAACTCCAGTTGAGGTTTAGGTCTAAGAGAATGCTTTGAACCAAATACAATGCTTTTGGTTTTTAGATGTATTTAAGACCAGTTTAGAGTTAATTACCCATTCTGACACTGACTGTAACTCCTTGCTAAGAGTCTCAGTAAGCTGTAGGTGCTGATGTGTACAGTGTGCAATCATCAGCAGACATAGTCATTTAAGCTTCTTGTAAGACCAGTGGCAAATCATTTGGAAAAATAGAGAAGAGTAACGGTCCAAGGCAACTGCCCTGAGGGACACCGCAATGTACATATCTGATGTTAGAGAAGCTTCCATTGAAGAACACTGAGTTCCATTGGATAAATAACTGTCCAACCATGTGATGGCAGGTGATGTAAAGCCATAACAAGTGAGTTTCATCAAAGGCTGCACTGAAATCTAACATTACAGCTCCAAATATCATCTTATTATCCATTTCTTTTAGCCAATCATCAGGATGGGAGATACGAGAGGTGTGCGGAGGGATAGAGGAGGAGAACTGGGTGCAGTTGTTCCTGTTGCCACGGATCAGAGGAGGGATAGAGAGAAAGAGAGGCTGGAGAGAGAGAGAGAGAGAGAGAGAGAGAGAGAGAGAGAGAGAGAGAGAGAGAGAGACAGAGCAGAGAGAGAGAGAGGACAGAGAGAGAGAGAAGAGAGAGAGAGAGAGAGAGAGAGAGAGAGAGAGAGAGACTACCTAGGAGTAAGAGGAATCATTTAAGGGGTGGTGAAGGTTCTAATTCTAAGGGGAAGGTAGATATTGATAAATCAGTTGAGGATAAACAGGTTGTAGAGATGGTGGAGTTTTCTTCTGGGGAGGATAGCTAGAGTGAGTCATCTGACGCGTCACAACAAAATAGCGAGATAAATGGGGTGGAAGGGAGGTATGGGATTGAGAAGGTATGTCAATTTCTGAAGTTGACAAAAGGGAAGAAATATATGCAGGATTATAATGTAACATATTTTTTTTCCTGAAAGTTAACTGTGTATTGACTCAGCAAAGTTTCTGATGTCAAAAATAACAGGGGGAGGTTTGACAAGCCCTGAAATTGCTAGACTCAAGAAAGTGGTCACGAGAGTGATAAGTGATGTTAATTCTAAAGTAAATGAAAAAGTTCAGTCGCAGCCTTAACTCTGTGAAGAGATGTGGTTTCTGGTTCTTCCTCTGTATTTCTTTTTCATCCATGAGCAGTTTTAAGATTTCTTCTTTAAATGTAAATGGAGCGAGAGACGTTAAAAAAAGAGCCATAGTGTATGAGTTAATGAAGGGAAAGGGAAGTGACATATGTTTTCTACAAGAAACGCATAGTAATATGGAAAATGAAGTTATGTGGCAACAGGAGTATTACATTGAGAAATGTAATACTGAAGATTATTTATTTATTGCTGGGGATTTTAACTGCACAGTCAGTGATTTAGATAGAAATCACAAAGAACCTCATATAGCCTCAAGGACTTTTTTTAAACGCCTCATTGTAACACATGAACTGTGTGATATTGTTAATGATAGTTTGACCGGAGGGTTACTACTGATAAGCTGCAGAAGGGCTGTCCTCACCCTGCTGCCCAAAAAAGGTGACCCTAGGGAGGTGAGGAACTGGAGGCCGGTGGCTTTATTGTGCACTGATTATAAGATCCTGTCAAAGGTTTTGTCCAACAGGTTGAGGGAGGTGATGGGGAAAATCATACGGACCAGTCCTACTGTGTTCCCGGCAGGCAGATAGGGGATACAATTTCTCTGATTCTGGATTTTTTTTATGTCTCTAGGGCTATTGGGTTGGATGCTGGTCTAATTTCAATTGATCAGGAAAAGGCATTTGACCAAGTTGAACATCAATACTTATGGCACACTTTTGAGGCGTTTGGTTTCAGCTCTGGTTTTATTGCTATGATAAGGGTGATATATGGTGACATTGAAAGTGTATTGAAAGTTAACGGTGGCTTGAGTGCTTCTTTTAAAGTGTGTAGGGGTATTAGGCAGGGATGTTTTTTGTCGGGAATGTTATATGCCATCGCTATAGAGCCACTACTAAGTCGCATTGAAGGGGTGTACCTTTCAGAGGATATTCCTCCTGCTGATGATGTAGTTATTTTAGTGAAAAATCAAGCGGAGGTGGATAGTTTGAGTCTAATGGTTGATCGTTTTAGGGGAATATCCTCTGCAAAGGTAAATTGGGAAAAAAGTTGTGCTTTACAGATTGGAGAATGGTCTGGAGGGATCATTATTTGTGTTAACACTTGAGTATAAAATAAAGGTTTTGTAAAACTCAAACTCTCTCTCTTTTATTTTATTTTATTTTATTTTATTTTATTTTATTCTCTTCTCTCTCTCTCTCTCTCTCTCTCCTCTCTCTCTCTCTCCTCTCTTCTCTCTCTCCTCTCTCTCTCTCTCTCTCTCCTCTCCCTCTCCCTCTCCTCGCCTCTCTCTCTCTCCTCTCTCTCTCTCTCTCTCTCCTCTCTCTCCTCTCTCTCTCTCAGGGAGGTGTGTGTGTGTATGTGTGTGGGTGGGTGCGTGTGTCCATGTATCTGTGTGTGTTCCTGTGTGTGTGTTTTCCTGTGTGTGTGTGTGTGTGGTGTGTGTGTGTGTGTGTGTTTACCCTAAGTTTAATCTCTCTTACCCAGTAGTTGGTAGAGTAGGTTGAGGATGTTCTTCCATGCCGCCCCAGCCTCTTCCCCAGCATGCTCTCCAAAGTGGGCAGCACTGTTGTACAGGTTGAGTCGGTCGATGCACATCACCAGCAGGGTCAGCATGCCCTGAAACACACACACACACACGACACACCAGACTGGTCATACAAAGGTAGCATCCCAAATGGTACCCTATTCACTATCTAGTGCACTACATTTGACCAAAGCTCTATGGGCCCTGTTCAGAAGTAGTGCACTACATAGTTTATAGGGTGCTATAATAAGTCATTGTATGAGTCCATCACAGCGGCGCATGTTCCTAGAACTTCCTACATGAAAAGAGATGCATTTGCATATGTAGTGGAAGTCTGTTTCCTGTTGGAGAATATAACATGATAGAAGAAGAAAAAGGATTCTGCACACTGCATGCTAATGTTTCAGGTTCCTGCAAAATGACAATTCAGATCTGTACACTGAAAAAGTTTGAATTTGGCAAGTCAGCAGAGGACAGGTACTAAGCCTACGAAGCAGTCAAACACGATCCTTTAACCCTCATTAAACCTGAGATCTCGGAGCCCTGGGAGCTCACCTCCTCTTTGAAGAGGTCCTGACGTTTGATGAGAGATCTCAGCAGAGTCTGTTTCTCCTCATGTTCCAGCTCTGAGTCAGGCTGTTTGAAGTACTCAATCAGATCATCTAGCGTCTGCAACACCTCGTCAAAGTTAGGCAGGGACACCCCCACGTTCTTATCCCCCCCTATACTGTCCAGACCCCTAGGGGAGAGGGGGAGGGTGGCGAGGGAGGGAGGGAGGGAGGAGAGGTGGAGAGAGGGTGAGAAAGAGGGAAGGGAGGTGGAGGGAGGGAGGCGAGAAATAGGGTATGGGGAGAGAGGTGGGGTGAGGGGTAGAGAGGGGAGAGAGGGGCAAGCAGAGGGAGAGATTGGGGGAGCGTGAAAGAGGGGCAGGGAGTGGGAGAGGAGGTAGAGAGAGAGGCAGTGAGAAAGAGAGGAGGTAGAGAGAGAGGCAGTGACAGGGAGAGGAGGTGGAGAGAGGGGCAGGGAGAGGGAGGGGAGGTGGAGAGAGGGGCAGGGAGAGGGAGAGGAAGTAGAGAGAGGGGCAGGGAGAGGGAGAGGAGAGAGAGAGTGGGAAAAAGAGATTTATGTAAATTTACTAATTTACTGCACTGATAATAGGCTACATTAATATAACTTTTCCACAATTGTCTCAAATTACATCGCACAAGTTCTACAGCAGATCATCTCCAATATCAGCCACTAGAAGTGAACCCACCGGCAGGCTAATTTGATGTGCCTAATCACACAAAAGCAGGAAAATTGCAACTGTGATTGAATCTCTCTTGTGCCAGTTCATTTTGATCATCTTGGCATTCAGTAGCACTCAGGAGCAATCAAGATAAGAACCACCAATGTATGATCCTGCTTTAAAGGGATACTTGGAATTTAGGCATTGTGGCCCTTTATCTACTTCCCCCGAGTCAGATGAACTTGTGGATACCAATTTTATGTCTCTGTGTCCAGTATGAAGGAAGTTAGAGGTCGTTTTAGCATGCTAGTAGATACCCATAGACTTCCAGTCATTGCGCAAACGCTAGTTAGCATTGGCTCACAAAACTACATCTAACTTCCTTCATACTGTACACAGAGACATAAAAATGGTATCCACAAGTTCATCTGACTCTGGTGAAGTAGATACAGGGCCTCATTGCCAAAATCTCAAAGTATCCCTTTAAAGCACAAATTAGCTCATCCAAAATTAGCACAACTGTGTTCTGTATTTTCTGGGATAGATGATGGTTAAACTGTCATGGCTACTAATGCAGCAGACCCACGTGCTTGATGAAGGCCTAGAGCAGGAACGCACAATATACACATTAACCGACACCACAGTACCACAATCAATGGTAACTGGAAAACAGGGACTTTCTCCTCATTCAGCCAGAGTCCATGTCGGCTATTCAGGTGAGCCCTACGTACTTGATGAAGTGGCTGAAGAGGACGGTGGTGTTCCTGATGATGCGTACAGCCCGCGCCTCCTCGTGTTGACAACGCTGAAGGGTCAGACCGTCGTCCATGTGACCCTCAGCATGCAGACAGGCCTGGAGCAGAGACACACACAACTCAGACATTATCATAACACACAACTCAGACATGATCATAACACACAACTCAGACATTATCATAACACACAACTCAGACATTATCATAACACACAACTCAGACATTATCATAACACACAACTCAGACATGATCATAACATACACAACTCAGACATTATCATAACACACAACTCAGACATTATCATAACATACACAACTCAGACATTACAATAACATACACAACTCAGACATGATCATAACACACAACTCAGACATTATCATAACACACAACTCAGACATTATCATAACACACAACTCAGACATTATCATAACATACACAACTCAGACATGATCAAAACACACAACTCAGACATTATCATAACATACACAACTCAGACATTACCACAAATCAGACAACAGACCAGACCTGGGTTTAAGCAGTATGCGCAGTACAACAAAACAGAGACACACTGTATACTGCCATGCCTCCAGAAATGAATCAACCCTGGCTCTGCCAGCCCTAGTGTAGACAATTACATCTGATAACCAATAAATACAACATTCCATTTAACCACAGGGTAGCAGGTGCAAGTTAATACTGAATCTAAAATGTATCCCTTGTCATTTATCGTCACTAGTATCAGTATCACCTCTGGAATTAGTCCATGTAAAGTATGAAATTACACCCAATCAAGCAAGGTGTAAGAGTAGCTGAGTGCCCCCCCCCCCCCCCCCCCAGGTTAGGTCAGGACACATGAGGCTCTCATTTAGACGTGATAATGAGAGAAGGATGGTGACAGTTAGTGACAGTTAGCTTTTCGGAGAGAGTGGGGATCAACTCCCGGCTCCCCCATCTCTCTCATTACTCCTTCTCTCCTCCCTCTTTCTCTCCAGCCCTTCCTCTCTTTCCCTCACTATTCCAATCTTTCTCCTTACCCCAAAAAAAACCCCCCCCCCTCATTTTTTCCCCTTTCCCTTTTCCCCTTCCTACCCCATACCCATAGTATAACCCTTCCCCCCCGTCCCTATTTTCCCCTCTCTCCCCTCCTCCCCTCCCCCCCCTATCCTAGACAATACCCTTCTCCCCCCGCCCCTATCTTTCTCCCTCTCCTCTCTCCCTCTCTCTCTCTCCGCTGGATGGAATCGCTATCCGGGGAAGGCGCCGAGACAACAAACGCCCCCTCTGCTTGTAGGGGCCGGGGGGCCCTTGACAACATGCCAGCTGGTAAGATGTGACTCACAGTGGGAAAAGAAAACCACTAAACTCTAATCCTCTGTATAAAAGTCTTCATTAGGGGGTTTGGATTCATCTACATTTTGCCCCAAATATCCAATTAAAACAGTTACCCCACTACTTACAGTAGTAAAAAGTCATGAATACTCATTGATGTGATAATCTGATTATGGTGACGACTCCAGTTTCCCTGTTCCGGGTTTTACCCGCTGAGAGGGGCCCCGGGTCACCCAATATTATCTAACCCCACACTTACGTGTTTTAAATTTGGCCAGCATACCTTCTGTTTCCCAAAAGTCTTATGAGTAGCTACATGACAGGACAAGTTTATAATTATGTACAGGCAACTTTGAAAATGAAAGCAATTTGAACATTTTTAAATTTATTTTTTAAAAGTAAAGTCATAAAAGGGCAACTTTTGGATTTTTTTCCACCCCATTAAAAACAGCGTGAAAAAGTGTAAAAAACTCACCCTTCTCTTGAGGGGCCAGCGGGATGTTTTAGGTCAGGCCCCTGGTAGGACGCCACAACCCCCGTAGCCACATGCTCACGAAGCAGGTTTGAGCTCCATACTTGATCTCGCCCCCCCCCATGCCTTAATGTCCCGGTTCTTGTACCGGCCCCAAACTTTTTTTTGTGGGAGAGAGGGGAAAACACCAGCACAAAAAAACCCAAAAAAACCGAAAAACTCAAAAACACACAAGGGCCAAACACCCCCCCACACAACAAAACCCTAAACCCCTTTAGGTCTCAGGTAGTTCAGCGAGGGGGAAAGAGACAGGTTGGGGGGCGGGGGGGAGAGAGGAGGGAAAGGGGAAAAAGGGGGGGGAGAGGAAAAAAAGGGGGGGGGGGGGGAGGGGGGAGGGGGGAAAAGGGGGGGAGGGGAGGAAGGGGAGGGAAAGGGGGGGGGGGAAGAGAAAAGAAAGGGGGAGAGGAAAACCGTCCCAAAAATTTTTTTTCCAAAAGAGGGGGGTTCCAACCGGGGGGCAAAAAGGGAAAAGGGGGTTTTTTTTTGAGGGGGGAACGGGGAAGGGTGAGGGGGGGGATTTGGCCCCCCGGGGGTTTTTTTTTTTTTGGATTTTTTTGGGGGGGGACCGGGAAAAGGGGGGGGTTCGGGTTGGGGGAAGAAATCCCCTAGAGTGAAATTTTCCTTTAAATTTAACCCCCCGGAAAAAAAAACGTTTTTAAAAAAAAAGGGGGGGGAAAAAATTTTTTTTTGGGGGGAAACCCAAATTTTGGGTAGTTTAAAGCGGCTTGGGGGAAAAATTAAAAAAAGGGGGAGGGGTTTTGGGGGTTTTGGGGGGAGGGGGAGAGGAAAGGGGGTTGGTTTTGGGGGGGGTTTTGCGGGTGAATTTTTTGGGGGGGGTTTTGTGGCTGCGGGGCAGTTTGGTTTTCGGCCCAGAGGATCTTTTAAAAAGTTAGGAACTTTCTAGAATATCGAGGAGAAGTTTAGATTTTTAAAAACGAATTTTTTAAAAAAGTTTTTTGAAGGGGAAAAAACAAACGAAAAAAAGGACGAGAGGGGCGACGACGGGCGTCTTTTGGCTTCAGACCCCGCATTTTGTGGTTTAATGAATAAGGGTTCTTTTAGTGGGTTTTTTTTATTTCGTTCTGTTTTTGGGAAAAGGGGGGTTGGCTTTTTTTTTTTCGTGTGACGGTTTTTTATTTGGGGTTGACTGGGTTTTTTTCGGTTTTTTGGTTTGTGTTTTTTGTGAAGGGGTTGTTTTGGGATTTAGGGGGATTTTGGGGGGTGAGGGGGGTTTCCTTTAAAAAAAAAGAAAATTTTACGACGCCTTTAAAATTGGTTGGAAGGTTTTTCCCCTTTTTTTTAAAAGGGATGTTTTCCCCAAAAAATTAAGATTAGGGGAGAATGAAAAAGGTTTAGGAAAAACAAAGAAAAAAAGAAAAAAGAAAAAAAACAAAAAAAAGAAAAAAAAAAAAAAGAACAGTAATTTTTATAAAAAATAATTTCCGAATTTATTAATATGTTGTTTTTTGTTTGAAAAAAAAAAATTTGGGGGGGGTTTTTTTTTTTTATTCTTTGGGGTTTTTGCGATTGCTTTATTACAGAACAAAAAAGTTTTAAAAACCAAAAAATAAAATTATAAATTTTTAAAGGAATTATTTTTAAAATTTTTTAAATTGTAACGTTTATAATAATTAAAAATTTTCAAAAAAACATTTTTTTTATTTAAATTTTTTACATAAATTAAAATTTCCCTTAAAATTAAAATTTATTTAAAAGCCTTTTACGGGCTTTTTAAAAAAAGGTTCGTTATTTATTAATTTTACTCTATGAGTTCCGTATACACCGTGTTTCTTGGTTGTATTGTATTGACGGTGTGACTTGGTTGTGTTGTATTGACAGTGTGACTTGGTTGTGTTGTATTGATGGTGTGACTTGGTTGTGTTGTATTGACGGTGTGACTTGGTTGTGTTGTATTGATGGTGTGACTTGAGTTGACCTTTCCTTGGCATTTCAGAGTTCTGGACTAGAATGTAACTGCTGGTAGTTGTGTAGGGCTACAAGAATGACCTTTAACAAGTCAAATGACAAATCGTACAGTACGTACTCTTAAAAATATGGTTGTGTCTTAATGTGCTCTGACCTTTCCCAGACATTTCTATAAAAAGCCATGGTTTACTCAAAAATACTCCAATGCACCTTCATGTGAGGAAATGTTAAAAAGTTTACATGGCAAGACAAAGAATAATATATAGTATCTAAAGTATACATATATACTACATATACACAATATACTAGTATATTATATACATACTATATATACAGTATACTAGTATATTATATACATAATATATATACAGTATACTAGTATATTACATACTGTACATGCTATATATACAGTATAATAGTATATTATATACATACTATATATACTGTATACTTGTATATTATATACTTACTATATATACAGTATACTAGCATAGTATATGCATACTATATACAGTATACAGTATACTAGTGTATTACATACTATACATACTATATATACAGTATACTAGCATAGTATATGCATACTATATAGAGTATACAGTATACTAGTGTATTACATACTATACATACTATATATACAGTATACTAGTATATTATATACATACTACATATACCGTATACTAGTATATTACATACTATACATTCTATATATACAGTATACTCGTATATTACATACTGTACATGCTGTATATACAGTATACTACTATATTATATACATACTATAAACAGTATACTAGTATAGTATATACATACTGTATATACAGTATATACATGTACAGTGGGGAAAAAAAGTATTTAGTCAACCACCAATTGTGCAAGTTCTCCCACTTAAAAAGATGAGAGAGGCCTGTAATTTTCATCATAGGTACACGTCAACTATGACAGACAAAATGAGAAAAAAATATCCATAAAATCACATTGTAGGATTTTTAATGAATTTGTTTGCAAATTATGGTGGAAATAAGTATTTGGTCAATAACAAAAGTTTCTCAATACTTTGTTATATACCCTTTGTTGGCAATGACACAGGTCAAATGTTTTCTGTAAGTCTTCACAAGGTTTTCACACACTGTTGCTGGTATTTTGGCCCATTCCTCCATGCAGATCTCCTCTAGAGCAGTGATGTTTTGGGGCTGTCGCTGGGCAACACGGACTTTCAACTCCCTCCAAAGATTTTCTATGGGGTTGAGATCTGGAGACTGGCTAGGCCACTCCAGGACCTTGAAATGCTTCTTACGAAGCCACTCCTTCGTTGCCCGGGCGGTATGTTTGGGATCATTGTCATGCTGAAAGACCCAGCCACGTTTCATCTTCAATGCCCTTGCTGATGGAAGGAGGTTTTCACTCAAAATCTCACGATACATGGCCCCATTCATTCTTTCCTTTACACGGATCAGTCGTCCTGGTCCCTTTGCAGAAAAACAGCCCCAAAGCATGATGTTTCCACCCCCATGCTTCACAGTAGGTATGGTGTTCTTTGGATGCAACTCAGCATTCTTTGTCCTCCAAACACGACAAGTTGAGTTTTTACAAAAAAATTATATTTTGGTTTCATCTGACCATATGACATTCTCCCAATCCTCTTCTAGATCATCCAAATGCACTCTAGCAAACTTCAGACGGGCCTGGACATGTACTGGCTTAAGCAGGGGGACACGTCTGGCACTGCAGGATTTGAGTCCCTGGCGGCGTAGTGTGTTACTGATGGTAGGCTTTGTTACTTTGGTCCCAGCTCTCTGCAGGTCATTCACTGGGTCCCCCCGTGTGGTTCTGGGATTTTTGCTCACCGTTCTTGTGATCATTTTGACCCCACGGGGTGAGATCTTGCGTGGAGCCCCAGATCGAGGGAGATTATCAGTGGTCTTGTATGTCTTCCATTTCCTAATAATTGCTCCCACAGTTCATTTCTTCAAACCAAGCTGCTTACCTATTGCAGATTCAGTCTTCCCAGCCTGGTGCAGGTCTACAATTTTGTTTCTGATGTCCTTTGACAGCTCTTTGGTCTTGGCCATAGTGGAGTTTGGAGTGTGACTGTTTGAGGTTGTGGACAGGTGTCTTTTATACTGATAACAAGTTCAAACAGGTGCCATTAATACAGGGAAAGAGTGGAGGACAGAGGAGCCTCTTAAAGAAGAAGTTACAGATCTGTGAGAGCCAGAAATCTTGCTTGTTTGTAGGTGACCAAATACTTATTTTCCACCATAATTTGCAAATAAATTCATAAAAAATCCTACAATGTGATTTTCTGGAAAAAAATGTCTCAATTTGTCTGTCATAGTTGACGTGTACCTATGATGAATATTACAGGACTCTCTCATCTTTTTAAGTGGGAGAACTTGCACAATTGGTGGCTGACTAAATACTTTTTTTCCCCACTGTATATAGTATCTATAGTATCTATATATTCAGACAAACCTTGGTAGCCCTGAAGCAGAAAGCGGTGGACTTGGTATCAGACTTCTTTCTCTCCTGCAGGACCAGACCATGCTCTTCGGTCAGCGCCAGGTAGTGACCGGTGGACAGGTGACGCAGACGGAACGCCTGCCCATAGCGAATGTGGCTACCGCTCCAACTGACCAATCACAGAGAGGGGACGAACCCAGACAGATGTCAATCTAAATGCTACAGTAATCCCTATAACCCATTCCCAATGAAAAATAGGGGAACCACCCTGTCAACTGTTTTTAGTCTTTTTTTAGTCTTTTGGTGTGTTTTATTGGGTATTATTTGGTGTTGTTTGTTGGCTGGTGCCATCAAATGTCCCCTTTAGGAGATTAATAAAGTGCTATCTTATCTTAACATGTGAGTGAAAATGTGTCCATTTCACTCTAGAGACATTGAGTGTGTTTCATTCAGATGTATTTTGGGGAGAGGAGACATACAGCATACAGCCTCAGGCATTTCAGCATCCTTCTACAATGAAGCACATCCACTGATTAAAAATATCGTAGTACACTGGTTTTCAAACCTCTCCTCGGGGACCCCCATATGTTTAACAATTTTGTCATAGACCTGAACTAGCTCACCTGATTAACCTAGTCAAGGGTTTTATGATTAGTTGACGATTGTAATCCATTGAACGGCTGGGGGTCCATGAGGGGAGGTTTGAAAGCCACTAGCTCAGTGCAAAAGGCAAGTCACACTGTGTGGTTTTCAGAGAAAGTGTAAAAACGTTTTATTGGAGAATCTGTCACTTAAGCCCAGAGATAAGAAGTCGAAGATGGGACCAGGATGTGTGTGGGCAGTAAAACCAACTTCCACAGCCGGTCGGAAAACAGAGTCTCACACCCTCACAGAGACATCCATGCAGATAATGAGACATGACAGCTCTGGATGGAGAATGGACATTATATAATATTACTATATATACCCTCTGTGACGTCATCACCGGCTATCATACAAAATTCACACTACCTCAGCCGGACCACTCATTCAGGGAGAGAGGACATCCATCATACTTTGGACTGTCATTTCAACATTAAAAACTACATTCCAAAGTTATGAAATAATTGGATCAATCAATTAGAATCAATAAGCTGTTAGAAATGCTCATAGCATGTCTTATAATCAAATCAAAATCAAATCAAATTGTATTTGTCACATGCTTCGTAAACAACAGGTGTAGACTAACAGTGAAATGCTTACTTACAGGCCCTTCCCAACAATGCAGAGAAATAAAATACAGAAAGTAATAACACGTAATAATAAAAGTAATAATAAATACACAATGAGTAACGATAACTTGGCTATATACACGGGGTATTACCGAGATGATGTGCAGGGGTACGAGATAATTGAGGTAGATATGTACATTACAGTAACTAGGAATAAAGTAACTAGGCAACAGGATAGATAATAAACAGTAGCGGCAGCGCATGTGATGAGTCAAAATAGTTAGTGCAGAAAGGGTCAATGCAGATAGTTAAATAGTTAACCAAGTAGCTACCCGGACTAATTATTTAGCAGTCTTATGGCTTGGGGGTAGAAGCTGTTCAAGGTCCTGTTGGTTCCAGACATGGCGCATTGGTATCGCTTGCCGTGCGGTAGCAGAGAGAACAGTCTCTGACTTGGGTGGCTGGAGTATTTGACAATTTGTAGGGCCTTCCTCTGACACCGCCTGGTATAGAGGTCCTGGATTGCAAGGAGATCGGCCCCAGTGATGTACTGGGCCATACGCACTACCCTCTGTAGCGCCATGCGGTCGGATGCCAAGCAGTTGCCATACCAAGTGGTGATGCAGCCAGTCAAGATGCTCTCAATGGTGCAGCTGTATAACTTTTTGAGGATCTGAGGGCCCATGCCAAATCTTTTCAGCCTCCTGAGGGGTAAGAGGATTTGTCGTGCCCTCTTTACGAGTGTGTTGGTGTGTGTGAACCACGATAGATCCTTAATGATGTGGACACCGAGGAACTTAAAGCTCTCGACCCGCTCCATTACAGCCCCGTCAATGTGAATGGGGGCGTGCTCAGCCCTCAGTTTCCTGTAGTCCACGGTCAGCTCCTTTGTCTTGCTGACGTTGAGGTAGATGTTGTTGTCCTGGCACCACACTGCCAGGTCTCTGACCTCCTCCCTATAGGCTGTCTCATTGTCATCGTTAATCAGGCCTACCACCGTTGTGTCGTCAGCAAACTTAATGATGGTGTTGGAGTCGTGCGTGGCCATGCAGTCGTCAGTTAACAGGGAGTACAGGAGGGGACTAAGCACACACCCCTGAGGGGCCCCCGTGTTGAGGATCAGCGTGGCAGGTGTGTTGTTGCCTACCCTCACCACCTGGGGGCAGCCCGCCAGAAAGTCCAGGATCCAGTTGCAGAGGGAGGTGTTCAGTCCCAGGGTCCTTAGCTTAGTGATGAGCTTGGGGGGCACTATGGTGTTGAACGTTGAGCTGCAGTCAATGACCAGCATTGTCACATAGGTGTTCCTCTTGTCCAGGTGGGAGAGGGCAGTGTGGAATGCAATAGAGATTGCATCATCTGTGGATCTGTTGGGGCGGTGTGTGAATTGGAGTGGGTCTAGGTTGTCTGGAATGATGGTGTTGCTGTGAGCCATGACCATCCTTTCAAAACATTTAATGGCTACAGATAGTGCTACAGGGCGATAGTCATTTAGACAGGTTACCTTGCCATTCTTGGGCACAGGGACTATGGTGGTGTGCTTGAAACATGTAGACACTAGCCAGCTGGTCAGCACATGCTCTGAGTACGCATCCTGGTAATCCGTCTGGCCCTGCGGCTATGTTAACCTGACTCACATCTGCTACGGAGAGCATGATCACACCGTCGTCCGGTACAGTTGGTGCTCTCATGCATGGTTCAGTGTTGCTTTCCTCAAAACAATCATAGAAGGCAATTAGCTCAACCCCTCACTGAGCAGCTAGCGGCTGGGTTTCCCTTCATAATCCGTGATAGTTTGCAAGCCCTGTCACATCCGCTGAGCGTCAGAGCCGGTGTAGTAGGATTTGATCTTAGTCCTGTATTGATGCTTGCCTGTTTGATGGCTCGTCGGATGTCGTAGCGGGATTTCTTATAAGAGTTCGGAGTCCAGTCTGTGCTAGCGAAAAAGTCCTGTAGCTTAGCATCTGCTTCATCGGACCACTTGAGAGCGTCACTGGTACTTCCTGTTTGAGTTTTTGCTTGTAAGCAGGAATCAGGAGGATATCAGGAGGATATAATAACGGTCAGATTTGCCAAATGGAGGGTGAGGGAAAGCTTTGTGGAGAGCTAGAGTTTTGTCTCCTCTAGTTGCACAGGTGACATGCTGGTAGAAATGAGGTAATACGGATTCCAGTTTCCCTGTATTAAAATCACTAGGAGCGCCGCCTCTGGAATGAGCATTTTCTTGTTTGCTTATGGCTCTATACAGTTCGTTGAGTGCGGTCTTAGTGCCAGCATCGGTTTGTGGTGGTAAATAGTGTGGCCTACAGCTTATCATGAGGTACTCTAACTCAGGGGAACAGAACCTCGAGACTTCTTTAATATTAGAGATTGCGCACCAGCTGTTGTTAACAAAGACACACACCTCCCCCTTGAGCTTACCCGAGGCTGCCATTCGAGGCTGCCGTTCAACGATAGTCTCGAACGGAGCTCGTCTAGTTTGATCTCCAGTGATTGTATGTTCGCCAATAGAACGGAGGATAGAGACTGATTATTTATTTGCCAACGTAGTTTCGTCAGGGTGCCTGCACGTCGGCCTCTCTTTCTTTTCCGGGTCTCAGGGATTAGGGCCTGGTACGGGGTGAGCAGTAAGTCCAGAGCCGCCGACTCGTTGAAGTAGAAATCTTCATCCAAATCGAGGTTAGTGATCGCTGTTCTGATGTCCAGAAGCTCTTTTCGGTCACAAACAAAGGCGGAAACATTATGTAAAAAAAAAAGTTACGATCAGCGCAAAGAAAACACACAAAATAGCAGAATTGGTCAGGAGCCAGTAAAACGGCAGCTATCCATTGCAGCGCCATTCTGATAATGCCTGAACCTCAAGAGATTCTTCTGGTGAAATAAAGGTAGAAGACATTATAAATACTTTCATGATGCATTATACGTCATATACAGCCAGGTGGTTCATGGAAAGTGCCATTGCCCTGAGGGTGTCTGAAAGCTTATTGGTGTCAACACTCTCAACCAAAAGGGTTTTACCTGCAACCAAAAAGGGGTTCTTCAAAGGGTTCTCCCATGGGGACAGCCGAAGAACCCTTTAAGGTTCTAGATAGCGCCTTTTTTTCTAAGAGTGTATGGAGTGAAGTGTGTCTGAAAGTGAGTGAGTGCAGTGACGGACAGACAGTGTCTGTGAAATGGATAAGTGAGAGAGGGTGGGGTGGGAGTGAGGATAGGGTCAGAGTGAAGGTTGGGCTAGATGGGATAGCTCACCCGATCCTGAGGGGCTCCAGCCTCCAGAGGGAGCGGGCCTTGGACGCTCCTTTACCCATCTCATAGTTCACTATCCTGGGGACACAGAAAGGGTGGAGAGGGATCAGGTCTGTGTCTTTTCCAGGGGTGAAAGTTAGGCAGTACGGTCCGGTACGGCTTCCCGGTAAAACATGAGCTTATCACAATTAATACAACATGCCCAAACAACTATAGGCTATTACACCATTATTTAACATTACCGTATGTCAGCCCAATTAAAAATTAACGAATTGACTGTAAACCGGATGGTATACGCTCCAAATTGCGTTGTGGTTTGAGGAGAAGACTTACATTTTGTCAAGGCAGAGATGAGTGGCCGAGACGCTCTCGGACAAGTTGGACATGAGTGGCCGAGACCGAGGCGCGCATGGACAACAGAATGTCATTACAATACACGGAGGTGTTTTGTAACTGATGTCTCTTTCCTTTCATCAAATTGCGGGTGCACAGTGCACTGTTGGGGTTTGGATGCTGACATTATTTTGTGAGTGAACGAATGTGCGCGGGTAGCCTACAGGAGCGCTATTTGATAAGTGATTGTTTTACAATCAGATGAAAACATCATGACTGGTTGTGTTTATGCCACATTAAAAGGCATAAGCTGCGTGTCCATGAGGTGAGGGGAAGCTAAGCTTTCCCTACAGTAAATTGAATTAAATGTAAAAAAAATATATATAGAGAGCCTAATTAGCTTACTACTGTCTATACAGAAATAAATATAATCTTTCAAAATGGGCTGCTACACCAGAAAGCATGATTTGGCCACAGAGGATCATTAGCTTATTGTATTTAAAAGGCTGTGGATTGTTTTAAATCGCATTGTCTACAGTCGGAAGGGCCGCAACTTGGGCAGCGCGCGCTGCAGATACCAAATAGATGATTGTTGAGGCATATCGCAATATTAAAAAAATAAAATAGTGGAAAAACTGTTTGGAAGGCAAATGGCTATTGCTGTAAAGAGATGACAATGATAAGACTCCAATCTGTCTTTTAGTTATCAAAATTCTTAACTTAATTGAGCGAACAGTAGCCTATCTTATTGGCACCAGCGGAGAACATCGGACATATCCCAATCCCCGGTGAGTGTGCATATTCAATGTCTTTATCATTGGGTCAGTGCCAATTGAAAGTTTGTTTTTGGATAATTTCCTCCTCCAGGTAAGATGGACATCATATCGCACTTGGGTCAAACTCATTTAAATGAAACACATCTGATGAACAGGTGCAGAGGATTAAATGAGAGTGATCAAATCTCTGGACAATTATAAAAGAAACCCTGTTTGAGAAATCACTGCTTCTTGCAAAATCATGTTTTTTAATAGGGACTAACGCTGGTGACCTTCAGTCAGTAGTATTACATTTACATTTGAGTCATTTAGCAGACGCTCTTATCCAGAACGACTTACAGGAGCAATTAGGGTTAAGTGCCTTGCTCAAGGCACATCGACAGATTTTTCACCTAGTCGGCTCGGGGATTCAAAACAGCGACCTTCCGTTTACTGGCCCAAAGCTCTTAGCTGCTAGGATACTAGTCACAGACCAATGCATTTGTCTCTATTTAATGCAGTGACTTTGCAAAACAAATCGTTGCATGGAGTCCTTCTCTTCCAAGTCTTCAAAAGTCCATTTTGAAACTGAAACTAATAGTACATTCTGAGTTATTACTGGTATGAAAATGGGTATTTGAAAACGTGTAAAGGACATCATGCTGCTTGCTTAGCTAGCACCACATCCTCCTCTGCCTCAGCGCATACCAAGACTCAAACTCAGGACCTCTGCCTCGCAAACCAGACTTGACTGCCCTCTTGAAGCGTTCCAACCCATCGCGCTATTGAAAAAAGGCCTTTAATTGCGCAAGGTGTGACACTTCAGGCTGAGGACTGAGTATCACAGATCCCCATCGGCTACATACGCAGATCGTCATCAAGATTGACTGAGCACTATTTTCTCCCAATTCTCTCTCAACGATTCAACAGAATGGTGATGGAATGTCATGGCAGTTAATTGAAAGCTCTCTTAAACATGAAGAAAAATCTTTAAAAATAGCTGTAAGTGCCAGTTAAAATGGTCCTTAATGGAAGAGCTCACAGCCTGTAATTACATTTGATTAAAAGTTATCTTCGAAGTGATTAAAAGTGACCTTAAGTGATTATATGACAACGTTAAAAGTGGGTACGGAGTATACACATACACATACACACACACAGAGACTTTTATCTATGTAAAGTCCTGTGTAGCTCAGTTGGTAGAGCATGGCGTTTTCAACGCCAGGGTTGTGGGTTCGTTTCCCACGGGGGGCAAGTATGAAAATGTATGCACTCACTAACTGTAAGTCGCTCTGGATAAGAGTGTCTGCTAAATGACTAAAATGTCAAATGTAAATGTACAGGAGAGATCAAAACCTACAGTTAAAATGGCTGACAAGAAGCCTCCTGTACCTCTGCTGCTCTGACAGTGTCACAGTGGCAATATTAAAATGGCCGACAGGAAGCCTCCTGTACCTCTGCTGCTCTGACAGTGTCACAGTGGCAATATTAAAATGGCCGACAGGAAGCCTCCTGTACCTCTGCTGCTCTGACAGTGTCACAGTGTCAATATTAAAATGGCCGACAGGAAGCCTCCTGTACCTCTGCTGCTCTGACAGTGTCACAGTGGCAATATTAAAATGGCCGACAGGAAGCCTCCTGTACCTCTGCTGCTCTGACAGTGTCACAGTGTCAATATTAAAATGGCCGACAGGAAGCCTCCTGTACCTCTGCTGCTCTGACAGTGTCACAGTGTCAATATTAAAATGTCTGACAGGAAGCCTCCTGTACCTCTGCTGCTCTGACAGTGTTACAGTGGCAATATTAAAATGGCCGACAGGAAGCCTCCTGTACCTCTGCTGCTGTCACAGTGGCAATATTAAAATGGCCGACAGGAAGCCTACTGTACCTCTGCTCCATCTCGCTGGCCTCTGATCCAGGTATGGTCAGACTCTCATCATGCCCGTGACACAGACGCATCACGTGTCCACCACACAGGAATCCTATTGGACAAACACAAGATTCTAAGATCAATAGGGAGCTTTTGAAGGATTGTACCTAGCCTCAGTGACAATCTGATGGATTGAATTGACTGATACATATGCACTTGTATATAATGTACATTCTCATGTGTTTATTTTATATGACTAATATAACTGCATTGTTGAGGAAGAGCTTGCAAGCAAGCACTTCACTGTACTGTTTACACCTGCTGTATCCTGCACACGTGACAAATAAACTGATTTGATTTAATGTTTATTAAGTGTCTTACGCACACAGGTTGCCCAGGGCAACGACACAAAGAAGCGTCAAATATATATAACACTCCTCAAACAACTGAATGTGTCCTAGTTCATAATGAAGTATTGACCTGGAATTGTAATGATATTACTGAGTTGTGGTGTACTTGCCTACAGCCACATTGCTTCCTGAGCAGGTAGGCTGGACGTTCCACAGAGTCTGCATAAAGGAGGCATCCACCTGGAAACTACCATTAGAGATGGACAGGTGCTGGAAGAGAGGAAGCACAGTGTGGGGTTAGGAGCAGTGGTGTGTGTGTGTGTGTGTGTGTGTGTGTGTGTGTGTGTGTGTGTGTGTGTGTGTGTGTGTGTGTGTGTGTGTGTGTGTGTGTGTGTGTGTGTGTGTGTGTGTGTATGTGTGTGAGAGTGAGAGAGAGAGAGAGAGAGAGAGAGAGAGAGAGAGAGAGAGAGAGAGAGACAGGGATATGGGGGCTGGTAAAGGAGAGATTTAAAGCTAGTTGGCATTTAACGACTTTGTCTCAACCCTGCCAGTGCATTATTGGCGCTAAGACCAAAAGATCCTCTCTAAAGACCCGCATCAGCTATGGTTCCAGAATAAGACCTCAAGCCAGGCTGGTCTTTGCTGGGGAGATAGTACAGCTCAAAAGGGATCCCATGACCTACTGATCACAATGAGACTGCCAACACCAGTTCAATCCAAAACACACAGCTTGGCATAGACAGGGGCTGTTCAGAGATGTTCAGAGTACACTGGGTGGGTTATAGCAATGATGTACAGTACACTGAACAAAAATTATAAACGCAACATGCAACAATTTCAACGGTTTTACTGGTTACAGTTCATATAAGGAAATCAGTCAACTGAAATAAATTCATTAGGCCCTAACCTATGGATTTCACATGACTGGGCAGGGGCACAGCCATGGCCTAGGAGGGCATAGGCCCACCCACTGGGGAGCCAGGCCCAGCCAATCCGAATTAGTTTTCCCCACAAAAGGGCTTTATTACAGACAGAAATACTCCTTAGTTTCATCAGCTGTCCGGGTGGCTGGTCTCAGACGATCCCGCAGGTGAAGAAGCCGGATTGGGGGTCTCGGGTTGGCATGGTTACACGTGGTCTGCGGTTGTGAGGCCAGTTGGAAGTACTGCCAAATTCTCTAAAACGATGTTTGAGAAGGCTTATGGTAGAGAAATTAACATTAAATTATCTGGCAACAGCTCTTGTGGACATTTCTGCAGTCAGCATGTCAAAACATGAGACACCTGTGGCATTGGGTTGTGTGACAAAACAGCATATTTTAGAGTGGCCTTTTATTATCCCCAGCACAAGGTGCACCTGTGTAATGATCATAAAATAAGCATGCTGTTTAATAAGCTTCTTGATATGCCATACCTGTCAGGTGGATGGATTATCTTGGCAAAGGAGAAATGTTCACTAACAGGGATGTAAACAAATTTGTGCACAAGATTTGAGAGAAATAAGCTTTTTGTGCGTATGGAAAAATTATATGATATTTTATTTCAGCTCATGAAACATGGAACCAACACTTTACATGTTGAGTTTATATTTTTGTTTATATTGATTGGTGATTGACTGACTAATTGATACATTTACATTTTACATTTACAGTCATTTAGCAGACGCTCTTATCCAGAGCGACTTACAGTTAGTGAATACATATTTTTTTTATACTGGCCCCCCGTGGGAATCGAACCCACAACCCTGGCGTTGCA